ACACACACACACACACACACACACACACACACACACACACACACGGAGCTTTACCAGCAGCCGAGGCAGAAACAGAAACTCCAGGACCGTTCGTCAATACTCGCCCCACATCTCTGCAGCGATCAATACGCCCCGGTCCACAGGTGTCACAACTAATATTTTAGACTGACAAATGTGGCCTGTTCAAAGCTGAGGGTGAACCGTGTGAGCCATGCTGACCCTGCAGTCTTTATCCATCAGGACTTCATGCCGGGAGGTTTGGTGTCGACAGGCTGATCCACCAAACACTCAAAACTTAAGATGGAGTTGAGAAGCTGTTGAGTTTTAGTTTGGAATTTTTAAAACGTCCTCACATTTAAAGATTTAGCGACTGATCTCGGAGTTACATTTTGTCTTTTGGCGATTTATTTCAAATTACAGCTGATGAAATCTGCCACAACGGTTGTTTTTCAATCAGCAAAAACTGTCTTCGGCTCATAATGAGAAGGTTTAACATTTATCATTACTAACCAAAGAACCAAACAAGCAGGAGAGCAACATTTCTATCACTCTCACAATTGAGAAAATACATACATAGTTTTGGATTCATTTGTCCAGGCTGTGGGGATTTATGCTTCAACCTGCTGATGTTTGTTTTTGTTAGAAAATAAGTTTCAGCAAAAACATCATATTGGGATGGAGGCGTCTCAAAATCTGGACAAATCAATCCAAAGCCTGGATAGATAAAACTGGAGGTAAATGATTTCATGTTTTTGGTGAACTGAGCTTTTAACACAATTCTCCAGACGCTTGAAAATGTGTCGCACATTCTTTTTTAGGGAAAAGGGAAACGTGTGCCATTTGCCCAGTAAAGACCGGCTGATGAACACTTCAGTCTACAGGAGGTAACAACATAATGTAGAGGCGTCTGCGGGGGGGGGGAAACAGCTCATTCTCGGAAGCAATTTGTGTTTCTGAACACTGTTATTAAATCAATGCTGCCGTGTCATTCAGTGTATTTGACTGAGACACAGCACAATATTTTTGTTTGGCTTTTCAGCACTGATTTATGCATTTGATGAAATACTTCAATGTTCTGCACAGAGGGAACAAATGTCTTTTATTCTGTTACATTCCTACTTTGAGACAAAACACTGAAAAGGCACTCATACAAAACTACGTGTGTTAAAGAGAGTAGTGGGATTGCAATCCTTGTCCTGATGCCTTTTCAGTCAACCATATGCACCCACTTGATATAACAACAATCAGCAGTCTATTCATTTTAACTGAACTGAGAACACTAAATAATGCCAGTCAGGCTTCAGCTGCAATGCTTGAATTTTTCTAAAAAAAAAAAAGGGGCGGAGGAACATTTCCCAACAAGAACTGAAGTAAACAGAACAGCTCATCGTGTGTGAAGGAGTTGAAAGTGGAGGTTTGTGCGTATCAACTCAAGTGCAACTCAAGTTTGTAGGTTTGAGGAAACGTGAAGGGTTGAGACTGTAAGCGGAGATGCCAGTGTGACTAAAAAGGAGGCTGCTTTCTGTCTAAGTGAAACCTGTTGCGGTCTACCTGTTGGACACCTGTACAGAGTCACGCCATCATGCCACAGCACAAGAGGGAGAAAACTACGCGTCTTTGATCTCCTCTCAGGTGTGAGAGGCTCGTCTTGCTGTCCGTCTGTTGGGGTGGAGTGGTGGGCGGCTGGGGGTGCGATGGAGGAAGTGCTAGGGTGAGGAAGTCATGGAGGTTTCTTTCTTAGATGGGCAGCTGGAAGGTGATGTCCACTTGAGCTTCCTTAGCCAGTGAGACAATTTCAGAAAGCTTTACAACCTGTGAGCATAGAGAGAGTCAAGTGAAGTCAAACGAATATTCTTATTTTTAAATTCAAAGTTAGCAGATCCATACATTGAAGGGAACATACTTGTTGTTGCATGTTTTGACCCATTTACTACAAATCATATATACTTCACATCACAGCTGAAGAGTTTGAAGACCGTGCTGCTGTTTTAGAAGTTTGTAATATATCAGATTAACTGTTCAAGGAAGCCATTAGTTTCCTTTAGTTTCTGTATGATTTGAAAATGTATTAACAAGTAACCAGGGCTAAAAAAAAAAGAAGCTTAATTTGAGTTGTAAATTTCTATTCATCAACGTCTTAGATACTAAAAAACATAATTGGCATAATATCGACCGTTAAGAATGCGTCGGTAGAAAACAAACTAAATTAGGCTCAACTAGTCACCTAAAAGATGAAAAAAAGAGAAGTTTAAAAGCAGATTGTTGAAGGTGTGACCTGTGATTTTGGGGGGTATTACAGTTATTCATGTGTCCAATCACAAGTTTAAGATTTTCCTACCATAAGGAACAAGATGGAAATCAATGGCTGCCCAGAGCTTTAGAAAAAAACCATCCACCAATATAAAATAAAGAAAATAACTGATTATTCTAAAAGGTGCTTTTTGACCATACAACTTCCAAAATGATATTACCATAGCAGGACAAAAATCTGCTTCTTTTAATAGCTTTTTAGTTTCAGTACTCGTGATTGTAGCCGGTACTGACAAGAAACAAAAAGACACAAAATAAAAGAGAGCAGAGACATGAATAAAGGATGATGAAGAGAGAGGTTAAAAAGTTAAAGATGAATTTAACATTCATCAGTGGGAGGCAGCTTATGTACCTCACTGCACTGATACATGTAGATTTATCTGCTACACTAATCCTCATCTAACCTGGTGAGCAGTTAGTAAAACATATATCACCAAATATTACCATCAATGGCATGATGTGTCCGAGTTATGTCCATTATGTAATCGCCGTAGTTTGTTCTTGAGCTTTCAGATTTCTCCTTTCTCTCGGATTCACTCACTCTCACACTCGCCTGCTTCTAACCCTTTTCTCACCTGTGTTTTCACAGGTTGCTGCTTCCTGTGCTTTGGTGAGCTCATGTGTTATAAAGCCAAAGTGACATTTCTCCTCAGAATCTCACACACACACACCTGGAGCTTTTACAGACAAGTGCATGTTTATTCATCTACAATACAAGGTAGTGTGTGCTTAAGTGTGTGTTGTCACGATAAATCAACTCAATTTTTTTTTCACAGCACGAGAGTGTGTATTAGTGCGTGCGTGCGTACCATTTTGGCAGCCTCGTCCAGGTCGTCACAGGCCAGGATTTTCAGCGGACTGGCAGCGATCAGAGCTTTGGCATCGTCCACTCTCGTCCCTTCAAAAAAGAAGACAAACTAAATTCAAGATTTTATCGAATGTGAGTTTTTGAAAAGAGTGAAACATCATCTCAGAGGAGAGCAAAAGTAAAGCAGCCAAATCATTCATGACACTTACTTTTTTTTAAATTAAATATGCATTAATATGATGTCTTATATTAAAAAATACTGAACTTAAAAAGTCAGCATTTCTGAGAGTTAATGAAGCCAGTCTAGCCAGAAGGCAATGTCTGCTTGCGTGTAGTTGATTGGCCAACATAGCGTCTTGCCAGCTGAAATGCGGTCGCTGAAGTTTCTTCCCACTGTGGTGTTCAGTCGTGTGTCACAACCGCTGTCAGTCATTTATGACTTCAGGGGATTTTAAAGTAAGAAAAGAGTTGTACTTATTATATTTCAGGGTTTTATTAAATGTGATTTAAAAACCTGTCCAATTTCCTTCCCTGTTTTTTGACACATGGATGACAACTGCAAGGAAAGACTAATAAAGTGTCACTGAGTACATCTGTTTATGCACAGTGTTAGTTTCACTCCAAACCGAGACATCCGGCAGGACGACCTGATGATGCACCAAATCTGTGTGGTCGCAAATATTTATAAACGTCATCTGAAGGTGATGTACAGACAAAAAGGACTTAGAACATTTTTGATCACCAGTTGCCCTCGACAATACAGAGTATAAATGTACAGATGCATATAAATACATAACAATCCACAGTTCAGTCGGGTTCATCGTTCTCTGCATGTGTCCAGGAGCCAGACATTGAAGTGGGAGGCATCAAACAGACACAAGTTCCTCTGAGCTGCCAGCTGCTGCCGGTTAACCCGTCTGACTGGAGGTGGTGAGGTGTGTGTGTGTGTGTGTGTGTGTGTGTGTGGTTTACTGGAGTGTAAAGAGGCTGATGGCTCAGGTCGGTTGAGTACATAAAAAGCTTTCAGTTTAATTGTGTTTAAATTTATTTTAAGGACATTTTCAAAAAGCAAAATGACTAATTTGTGAATCTCACATTTTCATGGAAGTCTCAAGTATAGACGTAGTATTTGGGTTATATGGGCTAAATTCTAAATTCAGAGCATTTCTATTGCCTCCACATGGCTCTAAACATGGCGACGGCTGAGCCGACGACTTGCAGCTAACGGTGCTAACAGCGCAGACAGAGCGCATGCGCACATGCACCATCACGCACTAAAAGGCAAGCGCAGCCAGACCGCCTATGTCCGGCATCCATGGATAAATTGTTCCAGGTTTTCCCAGATGTGTGAGAATCTAGCTCTTCATTTTATGTGAGAGAGTTCTAAGAGTGTGTGTGTGTGTGTGTTCTACCTTGTAACCGCACTACGATGGGGATCTTGAGGTCCAGTTCGCTTACAGCCATGATGATGCCCTGAGCGATGACGTCGCACCTCATGATGCCTCCGAAGATGTTGACCAGGATGGCCTGAACCTGAGCAACACCACCATAACATTAGCATTACCTATGCTACAATAAATAATGTCATGGTGACACAAACATAATTCCAGCATTACATAAAGAATTAAACAGCCTGTGGGATCAGCAGGCGGTGTGTTCTTACCTTCCTGTCAGAGGTGATGAGTTTGAAGGCCTCGGTCACCTGATGAGCTGTGGCTCCTCCTCCTACATCCAGGAAGTTGGCCGGTGTGCCGCCGTGGAGCTTGATGATGTCCATGGTGGCCATGGCCAGACCTGCTCCGTTAACTAGAAGGAACAATGCTCTTTGGTCATTTCAAAGTAAAATATCAAACGTGAAAATCACTGACTGCAGTACAAGCTAGCAGGAAAGTGAAGTGTTTGTTTAGTCCATCTCCCATTGTTGACATGTTGAAATAACAGATGTAGAAGGTCCTGATTCAAAACTATTACGTTGACACACTGATAAGGTATGAATAGAAGTTTGGATGGGAAAATGGGACTCCTAAGCTGAAGTTTGTCATTTTAAAAACGGTGAAAGGGACGATCAGTGCCGGCTATAAATGAGAAGCTGCTACCTGAATGTTCTTTTTTGTAAGTAATTCAGGAACAGTTCTGCATATGGGGTGAAATGCTCCACTGTGGAGCCCGGCTGTCGTAAAGGAAAGCAGAACATTGTAAAGAACGGATTGGATTTTGATTGGCAAATCCATTGAAAGATGCCCGAATCAGCTGGTTATCATCATGGTGTTTGTTAATTCTTATCTTATTTAACAGTTTATTGCCAAAAAGCCTCACTTATAAATAGAAGATAATAACTTTGGGCCTCAGGCAGGAATCACTTGTACTCACGGATATGTCCTAAGAGGGACGTTTGAGCAATTTCAGAGAATGTGTCAGTCACACATTCAAAGGTCCAGACTTGTCGTACGAGTCATACTCACAAGTCAATCAACTAATGTAAAAATAAAAACCTTAAATTAACTTCTATTCCGTTCACCGTAACATCACGGCTTACTGACAGGTTTGACAGCTTTTCTTGCAGGTCTCTGTCTGGGATCATCCTGCGTTACAACAGCAGACAGTGTAAAGCCACCAACAACTTCACGTCAAACCCGTCTCTCCTTCTACGTGTCAGAGTACGGTGCTGCTCCAATGTCACGTCGCCGGCAGCTATATTCATATTTTCCAACTGCTTTGAGTCCTCTTTTATCACCACTGACTCTGCCAACTTTTCTCTATTTTAGTTTGATGATTTCTGACGGCAGACTTGAAATTCTTCGGTAACATTTTTGTGAATGAAACATGCCCACAAATGGAGCAGAACCTTATGGAGCATAATGGCAAAACTCCTCGTATCACCAACATGAGGAACTCATCAAGGGGATATGAGCGAGATTCGGGTTAGGAAAATGTTCTTGCGCGAGTCAAAAGGTTTTCCAAAAAGAAAATTGTCACAAATGTTTTCTTTCAACCACAGATATTTTTCAACATGTTTGACATCTGATTTTGAAGTCCTTGAAACCCCTGATTGGCTTTATTTGTTACTTTGTAGTCGTCTTTGGGGCTTTTTGCGGTGCACTGACCCAGACAACCGATGGTTCCATCCAGGCCGATGTAGTTGAGGTCGGCCTTGGCAGCCTGCCTGTCCCGGGGATCCTCCTGGGTCCAGTCCTGCATGCCGAACACCATCTTCTGGCGGTACTCTGCGTTGGTGTCGAAGTTGATCTTGGCGTCCATGCACATCACTGGTGACAAACAAACACAACATTTTGCCATTAGAAGAAGACGTGACGGTTGTGTGCAGAGATTTCCATTTCAATCTTAAAACCAGAAGGGGCACACGATCATAATAATAATAATCAACAGATAAATACACAATAAAAGGAGTCATTAGTTGGAGATCCATTACATATATTAAGCATAATTACAGTACATTGATACATATTTCAGGCTCTCGTTAGCTAGCGGTTAAGGTTCGGTTGCAGCCGGAGGAACCTTTGTAGGCCTGCAACTAATGATTGTTTCATGTTTTGGTTATTAGTTGTGATTTAGCACAAAGGTCTGTGTTCTCCTCTTCATACGAGTGTTTAAAGAGCTCTGACTCACGCCTGAGGAGCTCATCAATGTGGGTTTACAGAGAGTCATTAACCAGCACTCAACACACGCAAAACACCTCAAACTGAAATCAATCTCTCTCTCTCTCTCTCTCTCTCTTTGTGCGAGTGTCATTTAAAACAATAAGTTAAGTTTGTGCAAATAGTGAGATCGACCCATAGATTTTTAGATGCCTCCCTAACTTATTGATCCGAGAGAGCTGGAATTCAAACCACGACTTAACTTAAAAGCTTAAATATGGAGCTTTTGTTTTATTTATTTATTTTCTTCAAATCTCACGAAAAAGACCAAAATCACCCATGTGTTAGTCCATCTGTCAATATTGTCTGACTTCCTGTCTGAGGCTTTCAGCTCCAAGCTCATTGGTTCCTAGTGGAGACATACATCTTTAAAAAATACAAATATATGATTCAAACAGGAGGAAATAATGCATTTGTTTTGGACAATTTTCAGAAGCGGATTAATCCAACTTTGCTGCTCTAGTAAGTATTTGGGGCAGCAGGACTGTGAATGTGGGATTGAGTCAAAATAAACTACAGTGTACGTGTTCATGGTACCCAGAGCAACTGTGTTTAAAATAGAGTTAAAACGAAGGACCTCTACGGCACAGAGGAAAAAGATAAACCACGCTTTGATGCACACACAATATTTGTTTGTAGATACATTCATTGAGTGTGTGTGTTTGTGTGTGTGTACCGATTCCAGACGCGTCCTCGACCATGGGGTTGATCTCCAGCATGGAAGCGTCGTACTTGATGAACAGATTGTACAGTTTCATCATGTTCTCCGCCGCCTCGTTCACCAGCGCCGGCGGGAAGCCCATCTTCTGAGCTACCTGCAGCAACACAAAAAGATTTAATTATTCACACTCGGTGTCGTGTTCACGCGTTCTGAAGATGCAGCCGGTTAGCTTAGCTTAGCATGAAGACTGGAAACAACAACTAGCCTGGACAGAGTTTCCAGTCTTCATGTTAATCGGTGAGCTCAAACATGTTTTCAGTTTGTTCACGGATCAAACAAACAAGATGAGAGGAGACGCTATTCATTTAAAATACCGTCGCATCAAACAGATGATTATACAGTACAGCAGATGGCTCGTGTGTGCGTCATTCCTCAGAACATTTCCATGTAATTCAGTATTACACACAGTATCAGCATTTTATATCTCAGCTTTGAAGACTGAATAAAATAATACACTACATTGTGCTGTTAACTTAGTCGCTCTTCTCTCAAACACTGGCGGCAAAAAATACAACAATTTAAAAATACGTTTTCTAATCATTTACATATCTTCTCAACCAGCTGAGCAAATAAAAACAATGTTGAGGGCTGTCATTCGTTAATGTCAGGCTGCAGCCGCACAGAAATATCTGCATATTTCATGTGTCACTTTGTTGATACCGAATACAACATGAAGGTGTAACAGTTTTGTGTTGAGAAAATTGAAGAGAAAGGTAAGATTAGTCATTTCTGATGAGTTCATGGTCTGTTACGTCTAGAAAAAAAATCGAGTACATTACACGATAACTTGATCTGTGAAAACAATGACAATCAACATTGTTAGTCGTTAAGTAATTTCACCACATTTTAGCTCTAGTAGTACTTATATTACTAATAAAAAATAGAGTAGGGAAAGGGATTTTAAAAGACACTATGAACATCAGCTTCTTCTTGCATCACTGTAAACACAGTAAAAGCTGCAGATGTTTCGATGAATGTCGTGCAGCTTTAGAAACGTGGTCTTGGCGGACAAAAATAAATGAAAAGGAGTGAAAGAACATCAATGAACCTCCGTCTACTTGGAGAGCCTTGCAATCAGCACCTCTCCCCTTTGTCAAATATATCGAGTCTCTGCTCTCACTGTGACAACCAACACTCAATATCCAGAGACACAAAAACTCAAGATTATACAGCGAGAGACGAGAAGGAAACTGGACTAAGACAAAGAAAATGAAGGGAGTGGAGAAATGAGTCTATGCACAATCAAATTCAGAGAAAATAGATTCAAGATTTTGAAAAGATAAACATGTCTGTTCACAAAGCCTGAGCAAAACAGAAAAATGTAAATTTCACAGTGTTTGATTTGTTGCTTATGGTTCTACAAATGCTGCATCCATGCATGAGCTGTTTGTTTGGTTTATGTGTATTTTACATGACTCATTGTTATGATTGTTGTGACTTTCTGGTTCAAAGAAATAACGTCCAGAAGACGGAGAAATGAAACAGGCAGGACTGAAAAACAATGTTCGGGAAGCCGTAAAAAGGTCGGGACAGGGATCCGTCACTGGTTAACAAATAAAACTTTTATACGAAAAAACTTTGAGAGATTTCAGAAAGAATGACTGGTTAACTTATGTAATTACCTTAAAATGTATTAACCGATTTCTTTTGGCCACTTAGATGCAGTCTCTAAAAACTCCTGAAGGAAATATCTGAACTTATTTTCTGTTTATTTGCTAAATGCTCCATGATGTTCACCAGCTAGTCTCCAACTGTGTCTGCTGAGCAGGTAGAGTAAAGTGGCTTTTTACAGCTTTTATTCTGAAAACGCCGCTATGAGCGCGGAGTAAATGTGCCATAAAACCAAATCTCAGAGCCAAAAGAGGCTGAAATGCTCCTCGGAGCCGCAGACGGGTGGTAACTCTCTGTGTTCATCACTATACGCAACGTCTCTCACATTCTAGAGTCAGTCGACGCTTTATCAATATGACAACTTTAATTAGTGCAGCTTTAGAGACTCCATTGACGTTTGCTGTATCTCACATGTACGTCAGCTCTTAATAATTCAGATGGAAGATGGTTCCACACTGAAGTTTGTCCAAAAGACATTTGTTCTGTGAAAAAAAAAAGCTCAACTGTTTAGAAAAACTGTAGTCTTTGTAAATAAAACAATTGTTTCCGTCGTGTCCTTTAAAGTCGAGGGTTTATTTATGACTAACGGACGATTTTAAACATCCGAGTGTTGCTAATAACAAACAGAAAAATCTAAATAGGATGATAATTTTCAAAGCAGCTTTTCACAATCATAAAATACAGATTGTTTTCTATAAAGACCTGGTGATTGATTATAATTTTGTTCCTCCGAAAAATTAACATCTGCATCCGGGAGGAATGAAGTCTGCGGAGAAGAGATTCTATAAACTGAGACTTGATTTGTGAGAAAAGATTGGACCTGTGTCCTGTTAAATAAAACAGTTTCCTTCTGAGAAACAACATATAGCCTCTTGTGATTTAGACATCGTCTCCCACAATGCAGCGTGAACACAAACAGCATCCCTTCCTTCTCTTTTTTGATTTCTCCTGCAGCCCAAGCCACACAGTTGGAGCGTCTCCCGTGTGTTTTGTGACTTGCTCCATCTACTATTGATTGTACCTTGACAGCCTGCTCCTTCTTAATGCCCTCGACAATGTCGATGGGCTCCTTCACAATGGCATCTGGACTTTCGGCGGCAACATCTTCGATGTTCACACCCCCCTGCGAGCTGCCAATTAACACGGGGCCCTGTGGGAAACAAGAGGGGGTGATGAGGAGTTTGACACTCTGACTTCCTGCACTATTTCAATTAGAAAATATGTGAAATTAAAATATTTTAGAAAGAAAAAAGGATGGAATCCGATGATAGACACGCACACATTTTCACATATACAAAGAATTACAAAATATCCGAACGTTGTCCACAAACTACAGGTAGCCTACAGATCGGATCCAACAGGATGTAACCGTTTCTGTGACTTCCTGTAAATTCTTTGAAACTGTCCCGACTTGATCGCAGCTTTTTGTCTACGCCCTGATGAATGATCTCGAACTATTTCCATCCACATAAGGAAAGTGGTTTAATGACATAAAATGAGAGGACGAGCATCTAAACAGCAAAAAGTTGAGTCTTACATTAAGTTGAACTTATTTTTAGGGCTGGAATCATCAATGATTGAATGATAATCAATGAATCGTGTTGTCCTTATATTTAAGATTTTTGTTTGAAAAGTGACTCAAACAAACAATTAGTCAATTATCTAAATAGTTGCCAATTAATTTCTGTATTTCTGCATCAATTTCTTGATGGATTGATTAATCAACGCAGCGTTTCAACTCTATTTTTTATTACAAGATGAGGACAAGTAGGACAAAGGACAAGCGACACAAGCTCAAAAAAGTAAATATATCCAAATAGTTTTTTTCAATCCAGATGCGACATCAGTTATTGTGATTTTCTGATAATTCTCTCTAGGTTGAAATACCCCTAATCAACAAAAATAATGTCTGCCAACTATTTGCTTGTTGTCCCAAAGTTATGTTCTATTTTCACAGATCTAAGATCCACATTTCCAAATCTACATTTCGAGACGGCTGAATGCTGCACCCTATTCTGGCCCTTTACACTCACACTTCTTCTGCACACAGATAAAAGTGAACTAAACGTTGTGGAGATGCTGGATAGATTGGTGAACATAGCTGGATCTTAAGAGCTGTGGTTACTAGAAGTCTCCCCGTCGACAGATCTGAAGGGGAGGCACTTTACTTCAAACACTCCCCCTTTAATAAAAGGTTTTGTTCCACAGACTCCCACCTGTGAAATAGCTTCTTTTGTCTTTTCCCTGCTGTAGGAGTGAAGACTAAGAGCAAAAGGACACATCTCTGATGAGTATCATCATCATTATCTATGACGTGTATGATGTATGATAATGATCTCATTGTGTATGTACGTAATGTCTCTGTATTACCTTCTCCAAACTGAAGAAGAGCAAGGATACTATACTGCTCCTACAGAGACACATTTAGTATCTTATCTTACCACTCAGACTCTCCCTAAACTGTACTATTCATATTTCTCTGACCAAGTAGTTGCACAATGGCTTTAAAATCTTCTGTTTTTCATCTTGCGGTATGTCTTTGGAATTGACCTCCAACTTCTCCCAGACTGAAGAGCTACTTTTAGCACAAAATTGTTTGGAAATTACTCTTGAAGTCAAGACTGACAAGCCCCTTATTTTTAGGATTTTCTCCCAATTCCCACATTTACTTCTAGCATTAGCGGCGGTATTCCCTGAACAACCCTAATTCTAAGCTTTTGGGAGGTGGACTGACAGCAGGGCAGCAGGCAAACCCAGTGGTCAGATGCAAGGGCACAATTTAGTTCCTTCGCTGGTGAAAGACGATGCAGGTTTTCTAACTCGTTAAATCACATTTAAAGCCTTTTCTATCCCATCAGCAATGCCCATTCTGTATTCAGCTGAACGAGGACACTTGAGATTCACTGGACGTTAAAGGGATCAAACATCTGACGGTCTGTCATTTAACATACATTAAACCGTGACCCGAGACCATTGTACTCTGTGTCACCATTATCTTCAGTACTGTGCTGCCATCTAGTGGTGTGATACAGCACAACCAGCAAAAAGGGATGACTTCTGTTTTTATTAAATAACTCTGAAATCACTCTTTTGGTGTTTATTGATTTTCTGCCTTGTGTATATTGTTGTCCACTAATAGAGCCATTTGAGCAAGAGACAGAATTTAAAATCAGGCCTTTGGCTACAGCAACGATTAGCACCTTCATTAAGCTACTGAACGACGCAGGAAATAGTCATTACGATGGATTTATATACTTTTTATACCATTACCAGAAACTTGTAGCAGACAGTACAGACAGCAGTTTAAATCCACCTTAAGGCCTCACAGTATCTGAATGTTTGTGTGTGTTCCCTCACCTGGTAGGACCGCTCCATGGTGATGGCAAAGTAGTACTCTCTGCGCGGGTACCTGCGTTCGCAGATGAACACCTGGTTGCAGATACGACCCGCCTCCCCGGTCTGCTTGGTGTACAGCTTTCGACCAATCATCTGGGATGAAATGTCCCGGGCCTCCTCTGGCCTGGACAGGAGCGGGAGGAAGAACATCGTGAGCGTCAGAAGAAGCGTCACGTACACGGCCTTCTTGTCACATCTAATAAGACCACATGAAGCTGATGGTGACTTTTAGAGAGCTTCTGGTAACTGTCTTTTGTTCCCTACATGCAGCCTGAAGATAATCTTCCCCTTCATGTTCTTGCAGCTTCTCTGCAGGTTGTTCCTGCCACACTGTTGACATTTTACGATTTCTGAAAGACAGCTTTGCCCCTTAAAACTAATGCAACCTTCTAAATGACGCCTGCAGCACTTCAGCTATAACTTAATTTTCTGTGGTGCATGTCTTGAAAAGCAGAGGTTTAAAATTCCTCTACAGGAAGCTCAGAAAAAAATGTGGATAATGGTTCATGAAAAGCAAAAGCCTCAGGTTCCCAATGTGTGTGTACTGCTGAGGACCCAATGATGTCAAAGTTAGTGAAGTGAGAACGCGTTCAATTGTCTTAAGTGGGCCTTTACAGGCCGTGGCTCATAGACTTCAGTCTACTTTTACTGCTGGCTATTTCAACGTTACAACCAAAGTCTTCTTCACCTCCCTGGAGTTAATGAGCGGTTCTTGAGAACGCTGCAAGCACCCGAGCACTCGGCCCGTTCCGAACGCCCACTCTCGGGGAGCTGCACTAATACTGTCAATGCAGCATTATTTATGTTTGTTGGCACTGGATTTGTGTTTGATGACAAGAAGCTGGATTACTTACGAGTAGACGATCCTCACTCCTCCCTTCAGTCCGCCCTCAAATGTCCCCTTTCCTCTGCCGCCAGCCAGCACCTGAGCTTTCACCACCAGGTCCTTTGAAGCTGACACACACACACACACACACACACACACACACAATTAACTGTGACAGTGACGAAACAAAAGACGTCTATGACAGATGATGACTTCTGCAGCCCTAACATCCCGCCCACCGCAGTGCTGAGACAACAAGTCAATCAGGCGACAGATTATCGCTATTATTAACGCTAAGAATTATCATCAAGAGTTTTGGGCTCATCAGTCTTAAATGTAAACTTAATGTCTTTGGGGTTTGGACTGTGTGAAAAACACCTGAAGACGTCACATTGGAAAGATATTGTGATACATTTGATACACATGCGATACTATCTACATACGTTTCCTCTGAAAACGATGCTATGGCAGCAGTAAGAGTGAACTACAACTTTAAAGCTGTGGGCCTGACAGATACACAATGAGCTGAAACTCACTATAAAGCTCCGTAACACCGAGCAGAGCTATTAGAGCTCCCTCTTACTGTCCTGCAATTATGTTAGCCGGGTGTCAACTGATACCACTGAAGCAGGAGTTTGCTATGTTTAGACCAAGTGTGTGTCCGTCCACCTACTAAACAGCTATTTAAAAACCCTCATAGAAAGGTCATGAAACTCTGGGTTTGTCTATAAGAACAAGAGTGAGGTGTTGAACCTCCATACTCTTGTGGAAGCTGCCAAAAAGTGTGTGTACCGGAAGTTAGCATTAAATGTCTGGTCAGATTTGTTATCTTGTTGAATTATTCTTTGATCAACAAAGTTCTTGTATGGCTGCATGGGAAAATTCCTCAATATAAGATGCTTTGAGTTCAGCAAAGACCCTTCCTTTGATCATCTGTACAGATAAATATGTATGATATTATTATTATTATTATTATTTGATTATTGGCAGTTTCTTACCGATCTGCTTGGCCACAGAGTAGGCCTCCTCCGAGGAGCTGGCCACCAAGCCATCTGGCACAGCGATGCCGGCCTCCTTCAGCAACCCAATGCTCAAGTACTCATGCAGGGAGAGGTTCCTCTGCTGCTGCTGCAGCAGCAGCAGCTGGGACACATGGGCTCCGAACAGACCCGAAGAACCACCGAGAACCTGTGCAGTAATAGTGGACTCCTTCAGTACCAATGAAAACTTCATGTTTTTATATAGAGGGTTCATTACTGCATGTACAAGCATTGAATGGCTTTTGCTGGCTGAGAACATTTTTCAGTCCCGATACTGATATGAAAAACAAATACTGATATGATATCTGGGCACCGGATGATTGGTAAAAAATAATAATAATAATAATAATAATAAGTCTTCAGAATTCAATAACATACCAGTATATCATGTATAAAGTGGAAGAACATAGAACTTGATATATCTGCCATTTTGTCCAAGATCATGTTATTTGAATTATTATCGGCCCAATATCAGTATCGGTGCATTCCTATTTAAAAACATTTAAATTTAGGATCATCTTTATCAGATTAAATATCTGTGTGTCACAGGCAGAGAGATGTAGTACAGCATCTGTAAAACTGACAACAGCTAAATTACAGACAAGAGGTTGTGATTGTCCACACTAAACACACATTTAAAAAAAAAACAATCTACAGCAACAACAAAAGTGTCTTGAGTTACTTTCTAAGAACAGAGAAGTGTACAGTCAGCAGGACAACACACACAGCAGGGGGAACTTCATTAAGGATATGAAACCGAGAGTGTGTTAAAGGGCTTCTCAATTCAAAATGCCAAAATCTGGGAAAACTACAGAAGTCAGTAATGCTGGTCTGAGAAGTAATATATACCGACTGCTGTATCAGTGTTTACACAAAAGCCTGCTAATCTGCTACATCAACTAACAATGATCAAAACAGGGCAAAATAGATAGAAGAAGAGCAGGTATTCCAACATGGCGTCAGAAGACACTTTTGGTTCTCAATTTCAGCTCCAACACGCAGCTCTTTCAACTCTTTTTTAGCAGCTCGGACATCTGGGGGAACTAGGTGGTTCCATATCTTGTTTTGTCTCTCAGTTTCCAGTTGTTATCACCAGCTGATGTCATTCATATAAACTGCAACAAATAACAATCCAAATCCTTGATATCTGGTTTTATATACAGAACAGTGCATTCAGAAAGTAGTCACCTTTCACGTTGCAGCAAAACAGCATTTTAGACATTTTTGCAAATGACACAATGACAGCTGACATTGAATTATGGCATCTCCCATTTCTCTTGATCGTCACTGAGACGTCTCTACACCTTGATTTAAATCTATCTGTGGTAAACTCAATTGATTGGACATGATTGGTAAATGAACACACCTGATATTAATGAGGTTGAGGAGCTGCCAGCAGAGCTCAACAGACCGGATTGTGTGGAGGCTCAGAGCTGGGGAAGCGGTGTGAATACTTTCTGGATGACTTTCAGTCAACCACAAGCTCCACATTAAGGCCCAAATCAGACGTTACAAGCTTCCCTTGAGCCAGGCAACTCAGGAGTTGTTTGCAACTTGCGTAAGCGGGACAACACATGAGACAAACTTGAGTTTAATAGCAATATAATTATAGGTTTCCCACCTGCTGTAACTTGTACTTAATAATGACACCTCCTCTGACATACCAGTAGGACGCCATGTTTGTTGATCATTGTTGTCGACAGCCTTTCTCTGCAGTGAACGCTGTTGTCAGTGCTCACTGAGGCTGAGTGGATTTGTCCAGCTAACTTTCCTCCAGAAGACGCCATGAGACAGAGGCCATGGGACATAAGCGATGGGACATAGACGATGGGACAGGCGCAAACGCAATGAGACAGATGATACAGATGCGATGATACAGACGCAATGATACAGACGCGATGGCGCAGAGCTTCTCCTCCGCTGTGCTGGTGGAGGTCACCGGGCTACAACTGCGCACATTCACCTCCAAAAGACACCGTTCAAAACACACGGATGTGACCGAATAAGCGCCGGATAAAACAAACGTTTATGTGTGTGTTAGCTGACGTTGCCTGGGTCACTTCATTGTAACAGCCGAGCTAATGCTAACTCCGTGCTAGTTAGCATGCTAGCCAAAACAACAGGAACCCAATGATGATGTTGCTAATGTCAGATTTGACCCTGTCCGTTTTGGGGTAAACTGTAGTCTTTAACGATGGTGGGTCACTTCCACACATACCTGCTCGGGAAGCAGGAGACCATCGCTTCAATGCAGGACACACACACTCACCTTGGAAGCGGAGCTGATGGTGTTTCTGGCCCCTGAGCTTCTCAGGCTAGCCGTCAAACGGCCGCAGATCAGGGACGTCGCCATGTCTCCCTTCTTCAGTGGAGTAACTGACGCGCATGCGTGGTGAACTGCTAAAACGGCTTCGACCAGTGTCGCCTTCAAATGCTGTCGGATATTAGTAAATAATCTAAAAACGGATCCCAGTAAACACGACTGGAAAATATTTAAGTTACTAAAATTTATGTAAGGCGAAGATGAAATGCAATTGATACCAGATTAAAAAATAGCATGTCTTTGCTCTTACTCTTGAACTATAATATACAATGTCGATTCATGACATATTGAGTTTACAGAGTGCGTGAAGGCAGCAGTGTCATGGCATTGACAGTGTAAATATAGCGTCATTCTGGCCTTTCACCTAAATTACATCAATCACTACTGTGTAATATATGGGAATTATTAGAGTATTAATCATATTTAACTGAGTCAACTCATACTTGTAAATGAAGAATAGGCATTATTGTATTTTATGTTTTTCAGGGCTTTTCATTGACACCTTGTGTCTTACTGAGTCTGAATATGATCAACCCGTAAAGAAACACTCCCTCCTTCACGTTATCACCAACATTCACATTATTTTTACAATGGAAAAACCGAACAAACACACCCAGTTTCTATTCCAAAAGTATTTATTTACAAGGCTGAGTATGTACAATCTTATTTACACAGAGGTAAATCCACAGCATTAGTCCACATTGTTATTCAACAACCTGCACTACACGTAGAACATTCACACTAAAACTGACAAAAAGTAGTTACACACTTCAAACACAGGTAACCGGTCACCAAAGAGCAAGAGAGGTCAGATTTTGGGTTTGGTTTCTCTTTGAGTGTCTTTTAGAAGGATATTAGAATAATTACATCGTGTAGAAGTCTAGAATAGGAGTTCATCTTTCTTATTTGTGTTTAAACTATATACAATTAAAGTACATCAGCCACTCTTATTTGTTTTCACTTATATTTTAATACTGGTGCAAATTCAAGAAGCTCCGTTTACTCTGGAGGAACAGCTCCCTCTGACTGTTTAAAGCCACACAGACTGACGATTATGTCAGATTTAATTATGATAATGATTTCTTCAAACCTTCAACTGCTGGGCCACACTGGACCAGTTATGAACAATCCAAAGAAGAGGAGTTAAAACACAAATATAACCTTATTTGCAATGCAAGAATCAAAAAAGAAAAATGGCTCGTACGAACTGGCTCATTCTACAAAATGTACATAAAAGATGGCCCTTATTTTACTAAAGGATAGCAGGGAAGTGACTAAACTAAAGATCTCAGCTGAGAAGAATGAGAGTGGAGCTTCTACATACAGCTTTTAATCTCTTTCCATTTTAGGAATTAGCTCCTTTGTGACTCCAGAGATTCACTACATGCAAAGTTTTACCACAAGACACTCATGTAGACTTGGATTTGACGTAAATGGAACATGTCAAGGCAAAGAAACAGAATGGTCTTATAAATTGACAAGCTTAATTTTTGTCCTTTTTGTCTGACCAAAGCTCAGTGGTGACCTTTCTCATGACCACTCACACTCTCAATCTTTCAGTCGGAATCACTGCTGCTGCTGGAGGAATCGGTCGACATGGCTTCCACGTCGTCCTCGTTCTCCTTGTTGTGACCCGGAGGCTCGAGGCCGAAGTCGTTGCCATGATGAGGAGGCAGCATCCCCACGGAGACGTCTGAGGACTGCCAGGGGTAGTGAGGCGTCAGGACGTCTGAGAGGACAAAGAGGAGAGACGGAGGTTATTCTGGGGATTCACAAATCTAGCAAGCGAGTGCCCATGTTATAACAGTAATAATGTCCTCTGAGGTGTCCAGATGAAAACAAATAATACACACAGTAGAGGACTTTGACAATTACACCCGACTGGTTTGGGCAAAATCAAACCCTTCACCAAAGAAAATATAAGAAATCAACGTCCAAATGAAAACTTACGACTTAAACTGATTCATAAGAAATTGTGTTATTAAATGGTGTCTCACTCGTGCCACTTTAGTAAAGAAGTGCAAGGAGAGTGGAGTAAGATCTGCATCATTACACGTGATAAACAAGCAGACATTTTCTAACAATGAACTAGAACACGTCTGTCCACAATGCCATCAGTTCATAATTTTGTCCTATTAGACATTTGTGTGAAACGGTCATAATAAGCACATGAATTCTTGAGTTATGGCCCAAAAGGGTTTTGTGAGGTCACGGTAATCAGTTCCTTCTTCAGTCCAAGATGATGCCTGTGCCAGATGTAATGAAATCCCCTCCAGGCGTTCACATAGGTACGCACAGACGGACAGACAACCTGAAAACATCCCGCCTCTGTCTCCGGCACAGAGGCATAAAACCCTAATCCTTTGGAAGGACTTACCTGGCAACCTCCCAGCAGCCAGCGCGTCACCCGGCAGATGACCGTTCACGCCATTGGTCGGCAGGTTGGCCATGTGACCCAGCATTCCACTGCGCATTTCCAGGTCAGTAGGATAGGGTCTGCGTGGATCACCTGTAACCGACACGCGTGTTAGAGGTGAAGGGAAACATGAGGAGCAGGAGGAAAAGTTATTCTGTGGTTCCTACCTGGTACCCAGTTGAGCGGCGCACACACAGCGTTACTGGCACTGATCCTGTGAGCATACTTGATGATTTCCTCTGAAGAGATGCTTCCTGCAAAACAACAAGTCAACAAACCATCACACACAAAACCAGAGTCAACAAGCGCAGCAACCATCTGAGAGTGATGGACAGGTGTTTTAACTCACCTTTCCTGGCTTTGTCAATGGATTTGAGTTTCTCTTTTGCCTGGTAAACAGCAGTGGCCTTAAAAAATAAAGATGAAGGATTTAGATAAGATCAGGCAAGAAGTCAGTCATAAGGAAAGACAGTGTTGGTGCAGAAAGATCTTCTGGACTGTTTTTAATGCCACAGTATTAAGTCCCATATTTAAATTTGTCACAAAAGCACCACCCACCAGGATGTGCTCCGCCTCCTTCAGCTGCTTCTGGAGCTGCTGGATGTCACTGTCTCTCTTCTCCACCTCCTTCTCCAGCAGCTGCATCTCCTGGTGGACCTTCCCCTGCTGCTGAGCCGTCTCCATCAGCTCCAGGAACTCCCGGTCCCTTTGCACCAGCAGCTCCAGGATCTGAGGACCACACACAAAACACTTCTAGTATACACACAGGTTTTATTTGAATAGAGTGTACTAAATACTACCTCCACCACTCTGATTGAAATCAGATGGTTTAACTCTTGGACAGTGTATTGTTATGAATGAAACTCTTGGTCTGTGTATTGTTATGAATGAAACTCTTGGTCAGTGTGTTGTGTTACCTGGGTGTCATCTCCTGTCTGTGGCAGCTTCTGATTCCTGGACAGAGCCAACATCTCTATCAACTCTCTGAAATAATAAAAACACACAAGCAAAGGAGATTCAAATAGCGGCTAACGTGATGGTTAGCTAGCTGATTCATGTGCTCTGACCGGCCGAATAAACTCCATACACGTGAAACACCAATACCGTAATTAACCGTATAAAAGCGACACCAGGTTACAACTGCGAGAGTTTTAACTTTACCGGGATAAAACCTCCAAATCGTCCAACGCAGACAGCAGCCGTTCCTTCGTTGATTTCTCGACCACCGTCGCCATGGTTGGCTCGCGTCGCTTCTGCCTCAAGACAGGAAGTGACGTCTGCAAATTCTTCTTTGAGTTTTTTTTATTAATGTAAACTGGAAGTGTCGTATTCTACTACCATCTTCTGGTGAAGTTACCTCCTACAAGTACATGGATTTATCTTCTGGTGAAGTTCTTCTTCTTTCTTTTTTTGTAGGTTTATTGGCGGTTAGCAAACAATGAATTGGTGGATTATCGCCATCAACTGGTATGGAGTGTGGATCAGGATGTCTTGTACTTGTGGTTTAATATAAACAATTAAATTAAATTAAATTAAATAAATATTATTCCCATTTTATGATGCTTTATACTTCTACTCTACTACATCTTAGGGGCAAATATTGTACTTTTTACTACAATTGTACTACAATTATCTGATTGCTTTAATAGCTTTAATTACTGGTTACTTTATAAATTATGAGATTACATTTTATGTACACCATTTAGTAATGTAGGCAACTTAACTACAATTCTGAGGTACTTGTACATTACTTGAATATTTCCACTTTACACTTTTACATCTCAGAGGGAAATATTGTACTCTTTACTCAACTAACCTTAGTTAGTTTACAGTATACATGTGCAGTTTATGTAAGGCACAGACATTAAAGTAATAATACACATTATAACAGTATAATGAAGTTTACATGATAGAAATTGAGGTGAATTTTTTGATAGAGCATATCATTTGATGATATAAAAGCGCAATAATAACAACATTATAATTTATTGTATTATATATTATTATATAGTGATATAAGTTATTGTGTTTCTATATCCTTTCTATACTTCAAAACAACTACTTTCACTTGTGATTTTACTGATAATACCTCTGTACTTTCACTTAAGTACAATTTTGAATGTCTGACTCCGGGGGAAATCAGCCGAGATCTGGCAACCATTCCCGGGTTGTCCGTTGAGTTTTGTTAATGTTGTCTCCTGTAGCAGCTGTGGGAACCATGGGTGTGAATAGATCAAGTTAACGGTAGATAGCCAGCCATTTTCCGGTACATGAGTGTGTTTGACTTCAAAATAAAAGTGCCAAAAACACCATGGAAAATTGACCTATATTTGGGAAAGGGCCCTGTGCTTCAAAGACAATGAAAATACACTGGTATTTATGGCCTTCAAACATGATGGAATTAAATCACATTTTGGGAAATACGTTTATTTGCTTTCTCTCTGGGAGTTAGCTCGATGTTCAGATTGACACTACTCATGTCAGACTCAGGCTCGTGTTTGTACAGTAAATATGTGAAGGAACAGAACACAGACTGTTCTGTGTTCTGTGTGTTATGTGTTGTGCTCTGTGTGTTCCGTGTTCTGTGTGTGTTCTGCGTTCCGTGTGGGTTGTGTGTTGTGTGTTCTGTTCCGTGTTCTATCTGTGTTCTGTGTTCTGTGTATGTCCTGCATTCCATGTGGGTTCTGTATGTGTTCCGTGTTCCATGTTCTGTGTTCTGTGTGTGTTCAATCAATCTTCTCATGTTATCCCCATTAAGAAGGGAAAATGCATATTTACCAAAACGACAAACTATTTCTTTAACCTACACATTAAAAATGGTAGATGCCTGAAAAAGATAATGGAGGACCCCCCCCCCACCCCTCCACCAGACTGCAGGTCAAATGTAGAACCTCCTTTAGGCGCTTAATTTCTGTATTATATGCTCTACTCTTCAAATTCCCAAGTAATAGTTCAGAAGTATTGTCAACAAAATATATCAAAAGTACCAGCAGTCGGCTTAAAGTACAGAAGGATTCGTATTATTAGTACATTGTACTTAAAGTATTGATAAAAGTAAGCTGTTGTGTAATAAACGTCTCCTGTGACATATATATTAATACTCAAACATAAACACTCAAAATTGTAGTAAATAAATGTACTTAGTTGTTAGTATTTCGACTTTGACTAAAGTTAAAGATGAAACAACTTTCACCAAAGCTCAAACAGGAAACGTTGCCATGTTTTGCTATTTATGCTCTTATGTTGAAACCAAACCGGAAACAGTTTTGTAGGTTTGTGCCTTAGCGTGACCCTCTTTCGTTATCACAACAGATCAGACTTGGCACCGGGAGAGAAGAAGTGTGACTTCCTTTTACTTCGGAGCAAATTCTCTCTGTTTTGCTGTGTTTTTACAGCTTTTTTCGTGGTACTTGTTTCGTCCCGGAGTTCGTCGGGTTTACTTCCAGGATGGTGAAAGTGTCTTTTAACTCCGCGTTGGCTCAGAAAGACGTGAAAAAGGACGCGGAAACTCTCATTCCCGAGGAGGACAAAGTGAGTAGAAAATGGCTAACTGAGCTTCCAGCTCGAGGGAGGAAGGCGCAGTTCATATAAACACACAATGGGTTAGTTTAGCCAAGTTCTCTATTTATATTTCACCGTTATTGTAAGTTAGACACTCAAAAACAAAGACAAATGCGATAATTTAACAGGATTTCGTAATCGTGTTATGGTAACGTTATATAGGTTACTTCCTCATGTAACATTTCATGTTTCTATTCTTTGAGAAATGAATATAATATTTAATATTACACAGTTTTTGTGTTTGACAGTCTGACTTGTCTACTGACATTTTAAATACTTAAATTTATTACCGTAATTCCCACATTTTTCTATTTTTTTTTCTTCTATTTGTGGCAAAATAATTGCAGCATAGTTTTTTAATATGTGTGGTAATTCGAGAAAACATCCTTGTTAGATGGTGATTCAAAGTTTAAAAGGCATCATTGGTACACAGTTAATTGTTTTTAGTGAGAAAACTCAAAGAACTCAACATGTGTTAAGAAAAATAATTGAAGTAATCAAAAAGTGAAGAATAGTAATTTAAATGTTTCCTTTAAAGGGAGTCAAGCACCTTTTTCTTTCTGTCCTTTTGGTTGGATTTGCTCTCATGTTTACCTTTTAGTTCCTCAGTCTCATTATATCTGATCTCTTCATTATCAAGAAAAACCAGAACCTTTTATCTTGTGGCACTAATGTGCTTCACTCTTACAAAATAGTAAGCAGACAAGTTTATGAAATGAAATGTCCCATCAAGCAAAACATCCATGAATATTTTAGCTGCAACAGGTAACTTCATCTGATCTCCTGCTAATATCAGGCTCATGCAAATGAAGAGTTTTTCATCATCTGCCTGTTACAGACAAAGACAAAGCTTCCTGTCACAAGTTGCCCTTTTCACAGGAGTCCTAGAGAAGTTGTGAAAGTTGTTTTCCGGGATTTAATTGCTTTGGAAACGTCAGGAAAAGACAAATTTTAGGTTGCAATCGCTGCAAAAATGTGACAATTTTGAGTCAAAACAAAAAAAACAGCTGCTGTGAATCTCAACGTTTTGTAAGATGTTTTAGTTCTCTCTCTCTCTCTCTCTCTCTCTCTCTCTCTCTCAGTATAAAGTCTAGTTAAACCCTTCAGAGGGTTGTTGTCTCTCTCTCT